AGTCAATAGACAGCAACCAAAACCGGCGCACGAAAGTGCATGGTTAATGGCTGTTCAGACTGAACTGAACAGAACTAATCAAATCTTAAAGAACAAAATCACTGCTTACGCAAAGACGTTAAATCCATGCCGAACCTCAATACCCGCTCCCATTATAAGCTCCTTCCCACACGCACCGTCACATACAGAAACAACGTTCTCCCTTTCCTTGCTCGCTTTTTAGTGAACCGGGCACCAATGATTACATATCCGGTGTAACATCTCATGAGTTAATTTCATTTATTTGTTAAGCTTTTACTATCTTCTTGTTCACAGTGCGCTGTCGTATTTGTCTATCCCCTGTACACTCTGCGTCCCCCCTCCCCCCCCACACACGCATGTCCAGTGTACTCTCGTGAAAATTCCACACGTGTGGGTCATAAAAAGCTGTTTTAATATCCTCATTTCTTACCAATTTTCGATCGATCTGAATACATGTGTAGCGGAGACACGAATGATAACCAGAGCAGAGAGAAAAGGGAGCTTCCGCGGTCTGATTTTGCATGCTGGGATAAACTTACTGTGTGATCATTTGATATGGCTTAGTCATTGGTAAAAAAGGCCTACAACTTCAATAGGCCTTTTTTACTAAGAACATAAACTGTCTAATGAGCTTTGTTTCCTAAATGCCTTTTCAGATCAAGTAAATCGACCAGCAAATTTTACCGGTTGCACGATATCCACTGGCCTCTGAAAATGCGGTTAACTGATATTTTGTGCATTCGAAAAATCGTTCCCTTCCCATCATCCCATGATCCTTGGTTCAAGCGCAATCAGCTCATGAAATTCGCCTTCGTAAATCTCGATGCTATTCTTGAATTTAATTTTATTCCCATCTGTGTAGGCCTATCAGGGTAGAGGTGCCCGATGCCATAAACTGGGAATTAATCGTGTCTTTAAATCGCTACAACACGTGCGTGCACTGCACGATGCACGCAAAAAAGACATATCAGACTTGTGGACCGAGCGTTTGTCCATTGCCAGTGAGCAGTGCGGTCTTCCTAGCGTTGCAGTACTACGAGAAGGTCTGGGGCAGTGTAATATCGCACTGAATAGCAACATGCTACAAATCCTAGCCGTATACGAACCGAAAACGTTTGCTGTAAGTTCATTTTGGTAATCCCACCTTACAACGTGGTCATTGGTTCTGTTACAGGCACTGGCGGATATTGCGAAGCAATACCATGTCGAAAAGGGTGTACGCCTCCCAAATCCTCAAACCCGTAGTCAAGTGATCACCCGTGGAATGCTCCACTCGCCCATTGTACCTGGAAATAAACATCTTTATGATTAGTGCTGATGTAAAGTGTATATGAACAAATAGATGATTTGCACTGTTGCTAAACCTTGCTCTTCTGTCCTCTCGACTATTCTTCTGCATGTATGTATGTGTTTGTGTGAGTGCGAATGAGTGAGTGGTTTGTTGGAAGTAATAGATTTCTAATAGTCATTCTGTCCAACTATTTATTCATTCCAGTAACCATTAACTTCGCACTCTTGTGAGGCGATTTTCGTTGCTGTTTTGGTTGCTGTCTTTTGGCTGTCCATTTCGATGAATTATAGGAGAAGAAAAGAAAGTTGAAAGTGGAGTTGAACAGAAAATGGAGAAGTTCAGTGGTCTAAGATCGCAAAGAGATTGAGAAGATGCGAGAACGCCACTGTTTACGACACTCAGCCATATCACTCAGTGTCTCTAACTATCGGGTACGATCTTCTCGAGGTCCCCAACCAGGGACCTATGTGATCCAGTCCCTTCGTCAGGGTTTTCATACCTACATGCAAGGTCTTAGCTGGGCCACCCTTGACTTTCTTCCAACCACTACTTATCTCGGCGAACATCGCTCGCCGTGGCAACCTATCTGGTGACATACGTAACACATGTCCCAAACAACGTAATCTATGGAGGTCGACCACTTGGTCCAGTGGGTGACCGCATTTACCCAAAACTCTGCGCCTAACCTCAGCATTGCTCATCCGGCTACCCCACCAGATTC